TGTGTGTGTGTGTGTTAAAGTTAAGAGGAAAAGCTGCTCAATCACTGTTCATAGGAAAAATATTAAGAGGTTACACACGTTTACAGTGCTTGTAGTGCCTTTAAGTCTCAGCTCACTGCTGATACAAATGGATATACTGTATTAGTATATTAGTATACAGTATACTATACAGTGTTGAGACTTACTGTACTGACCTGCACTTGTTTCAGTCAGTCTAAAGTGTAATATAAATCTAAAGATCAATATTTCTCAATCTGTTATGCAATTTGTTGTATTCATGTAATTTTACTAATTCTGTATACATCCAACTTTATATTTAAATCTTTTTGAATGTACTATTAGTCCAAATCTTTGCTTTTTAGACACTAGATGTTGAATTGAACATATGTATACTGCACATTTTATACAAACACTGAAGTAGAGGCCAAAGGATTTTTGAAACTGACCCACTGGATACACGTGCTCCCTCTGGCCTGTGGACTGCAGCGAAACTGACCGACCTGTTAGCAATGAACAGTTGTTCTTTTCACACTAGTGACACCTTCATATGTAAAAGTCTTGAGTGATATGAGTCATTAAGCTGCACCAATACGTCACCATCTGCCAAATCTTTTGTAAAATTGTCAAATTAAATGTTCACTTATTTATGAGTGTATTTTTCTGTGCCAAAATTGTACTTGTTGTGTAAACAAAATCACTTGTCAAATCAAAGATGTAAATCATTTTAAATGAATAAATATTTCTTTTTGTGAATGGTTACTCAGGAACAAAGCATGCTTTTGGAGTCTGTGGGAACGAGCTTGATGTGGTTTGTGAGCGACATCTTGTGTTGAGCCATGGTATTCACTGGCTCAAAGTTCACCATAAATACAAATGAAACAGTTCCAGCCGTATAGCCTTAAATAAAGACGTTATATATTTCACATAAATATACAAAAATAAAACAGATTGTTATAAAGAGATAATACGAAACATTGGTCATTGGAGCTTATTGCAGGAATTTTGGCAAAACCTGCATCAACAGTGATGTAAATCAGAAGACGCATAACTAATATCGTAGTAAATAAGTTATGGTAGTGATACAGAGATTATTGAGGAATATTTTGAAAAATGTATCTATGCAAAAAACTAAATCGTAAACAAAACATCTCAGATGGTTCATCTTTGGTCGTGTCATCAGTCTTCTTGATGCTCCTGTAAACATACAAAAAACAAATACAATTCGGTTTTTGTTATTCTACATATAATGTAGTGGTAAATACAGCAGCATGCTTTTAATCATTTAACGTTAAATAATAATAAATTATCAGGACAGATGACCAAAGCCCAGAGTAATGTTTTAACTTTTGTCTAGCCTAAAATCCAATTATCAAAACAGTCACTGATGGATTTTCAGTTAAATGGTGAATTAAACACACGACAATGACATTTTTAGCTTAGCAAGAATGAGACCAACCATATAGTTTGCCCAGGGAGAGCAGGCTGAAGACCAATCGGATTATCCCTTTTACTTATCAATAGAATTAAACATTTTTACAGGCATGATTAAGAAAGATAAAGATAAAACTCTGCTGTGTAGGTATTATTACTGTATATCCAGCATAATTCAAGCAGTATTACTTGGAGCACCAGACAGATAAACCTTCTTACTGCATCTGGTCCTCCAAGCAGATTAAATCAAATGCTACAAATGATCTGTACATACAGTGCATGGGAATCCTGCCTTTACAAGTCCTATCCTTCTTTGGTTTTTACCCTCATCTGGTGGTGGATCCAGTCCAGAAAGTAGGTGACGTTGCCGTAAACATCTGGTCTCTCCTGCCCAGTGCAGTGTTCGCCCCAGATATTGTCCCCTAAGAGCCACCATACTCCGTCCTTCAGGGACACCAGAGGACCACCGCTGTCAGTCTGAGAAAGAGTTCAGCACAAAACTGGATGAGTTTTTATGAGCTACAACTTTAGACATTTAACACACACATTCAGTCTCAAGGCTTTACAGTGTTTTTTTGGGGGGTGAAATTTAAATGTTATTCATTCAGTTTAAAAAGCATTTAAGGTCTTTCAAGGTCCATGAAAAGCACTGAATAGTTTAAATAAAACATGATATCATGGTCAGCTGCCACCTCAGGGCTGCAACTTTACATTCATTGTTGACTCGACTGTATAAATGGTTTGTTATAATTCACAAAGTGGAACAGATTATTATGTAGAATACAGTGCAGGTCTTGTTTTTACTTTGCCTCAGAGCAAATTACATAAGGGCATGAAAATGCTTTGAATTCTTTCAAGAACACAAACTATTTTTATGTTACTGCTCAATTTGTGCAAGAAAAACTGAATTGTACCAGAAAGTGTCTCATTATAAAGAGTGTTTGTTGCTGCTTCATTAGTGAACACTGATTTCTTTGAGTACAATTTTCTGTAGGATCTCCTCGGTCTGTATTAAATGAATGTATTTGCAGCTAATGTTCAAACCCTGCAGGCCGTGTGTCAGCAGTCACACTGCAATCGCCTGGTTCTCACTATACGATAAAACAAACTGCTCTTTGTTCAATGTAATCATTTTATTTGTGTTGGTTTTAGTATTTAAACTTCATCTTTACATCTTTACCAAAGAGAGGAGACTGTGTGTGAGTGTTTGAGTCTCGGGTTTGTCTTACACGGCACATGTCGGCTACTGCGTCCATCTCTCTGGCACATAACATGTCCTGTGATATCCTGCCATTGTAAGTGATGGAGTTGTTGCAGTCTGCAGTATCTATGAGAGAGACCTGAGTCTCCATCAGGTACAGAGAGCCTGTCAAATGACAAGATATTAAAATAATGTATTTAATTTAAGTAACTTTAGTGTTTGCTCATATACACTGTATTTGTAGTAAAAACACCAGCAAGTAAAACAGAGTTAGAGTGCCATCCAATGGTAGACACACACAGGCAGACAGCAGTGGACACTAATGCTTTAATCTTTAAACATGTGAAAACTAAATATCTAATCTTTATATTTAATTTAGAATATTTAGTCTCACCTCCACTTACTGTGCCACCAAAGTGTGTTATCCAGCCCTTCTGGTGATCAGTGATGTTCAGACCAACATTTGGGAGGCAAACAGGTCCGATGTTACTGGAGGCTACCAGAGAAAAGAATATATCTTTTATTTAAAGTCTAAAAAGGGAAAAAAATTATTCTTTATGACAAAGGTGACATTGTGCAGAGTTTTACAGCTTCTGAGCTCTCTGGACACAGATGTATACATTCATCAGCTGGTTTCCGCAGTATAAGGGCTATACACACAGCTGCGAGTTTATTAGGTACACCTAAAACTAACACAGTCTAATACAACAGTCCTGCAACAAATCATGAAGGTAAAAATGAGGTGTTGGTTCAACTATATGATCAATTTGGAGGATGTAGCTATACTGACAGGTGTTTCTATTATTTTGTACACCCCATTTGTATCAATGAGGGAAGGCTAAATAACATAAACACCTCTTTGTATACTAGGAAAAACATGTAAACTGTGTACCTGTGATGTCCAGAGGTTTAGAGAGCCTTATCAGAGCGATGTCATTCCTGCGAGTGAGACTGTTGTAGCCTTCATGGGCAATGATGTGGCTCACAGAGTAAGCAGGGTTAAACAGAGTCTCTAATGGATCCAAAATCCCAGCATACACTATCCAGTCTCCAGGGCTGGAGGCCCTGCAGGGGGGAGAGACAGCAGAGAGTAGATTCAAGCTGGATCAGACCACAACCACTGCTTTAAGAAGTATGGTGAAAAGGCCTCACCTGTCTACACAGTGTGCTGCAGTGACTATCCAGTAGGGGGAGATGACGGCTCCACCACAGCGGTGGGAGCCCGCAACCTGCAGGCTGACCTGCCATGGCCAGGCCCCTACAGAGGCCAGTTGACCCCCAGAGGCCCTGCTGGAGTTCACCCCACTGCCACAGTCTGAGGACGAAACTGCTGTTAGAGAGGATGCAATTCACTGCCACAGTGCTTTTACCAACAAGTACAAAAGAGGACACAGTTCTGTACAACCATAGTGTGAATAAATGCAGTGTAAAGACATACGCATACAGTGATCTCATAAAATATATAATAAATAGTATAATGATACAGTTTCAACAGAAACAGATTACAGTATCCTATGTGGGGGGAAAAAAACAGTTTTGAACCTTGAAACATCTGAAGACAACAAAGGATCAAGCTGTGCAAAAGCCTTAAGTCTTTTTCATTTCATTTTCACATTTAATTTGTTGGGGAACACAAGAACACAACATAAAGGAGATCAAAAGGACTGCAGCGAACACACAGTCCTGCACACAATTTCACCAGAAACAGACACAAGATATTCCAACTTCTCTGTCTTAGATATTTATATTAATATGGAAATTAAAAACCTTCAACTGCAGCAAATTATCAACACAAATGCAGACCCAATACCCATCCACCCTCTTGTGACAAGACTGCATAAAAAGAAAGTGTAAATAAATAAACCTCAAATCCTCTTATACAGTGGTTCCCAACCTTTTTCTTTTGAGCAGATACATACTTAATAGTTTTCTAGTCCCTGATGTTTGACCATTGATCTATTAGACAATATACATTTACTTTACTTCACAGAAATTAACCAAATGTTGAGATATAGGCCTATTTTTCATTTTTCCTTTAAAATCAAGAAGGCCCTGTAACCCCCCATGAAGCTTTGTGGACCCTTAGTGGGGGTCGTAGTTGATATTTGTACAATGTATAATGACAATGTGTATAACATACCAGTACAACGCAACGTCACAGCACTGTTGTTGGGACAGGTATCGCTGCAGATGGCAAAAAAAAAGGACATTTGACATGGATTTAGGTTCATGTTGATTCAGTTGTAACATCTTTATACTGGTTTACCTCGACCAGTTTGCTTACCTGAGCACAAGCTGCTGCAGTATGGATGCCTCAGGGTTGAAGTCAGACTTTACAAGTAAGAATCCATCATCAGAGTCAGTCTTCTGCTGGCCTGATTTAAAATACGTGTCCCTGTCGAACCACAGAGTGGAAAATACAGCTTCATTTAAACACCTTAATCCTTCACATGTCAGAATAATAGAGAAAACAGTCAGTGAGCGTATCACCTGCTGTATCCAATATTCTGGCAGCTTGCTCTGCCCTGTTGTTCTGTCCAGCCGTGAGAACAAACAGTCCTCCAGTTTCTACTCTGAGTCGAATAGATATGGAGCAGGAAAGTGGAACCATGCAGCCTCACTGAGCACAAACAGCAAACACAAACAATGACTTGACATTTTGTTACAAGGAGGTGAAGAAGGCAGCCACACCAGACTCTGGTGAAAACAAAATCCTATGTAGTCTTCACTTGAAGTACCTTGATGTAAGCCCATATTACTCTTATGAGGTAATCATGAACAGCAGTGTATATAATGATTGAACAGAAAAACAATTAAAGACTCCATAGTTGACAAATACAGGCACAGAACTTTTTAAATGTAAGGCTGCTTTAGTTAAAGTAACTATTCTATGTGTTCCTTTTAGCTGTAAAAGACGTGCAGACTGCGTTTTATAAATACGAAGATGAGTGAACACATCAGAGGGTTTTCAGGTGTGTTTTATCCTGCACTTTGGCCCCTGGAGGAGGTTGTTTACCGCAGTTAGCCTCATCCTGGCCTGCAGTACAGTCCGTCACCCCGTCACACCACTGGGACTCCCACACACATTCCCCATCTCCACACTGCATCCCGTGCAAACAGGGCGAGGAGACTGGGAGACAAGATGAGACGGAGGAAAAGACTTTAGACTATACTCTGTGTGTGTGTGTGTGTGTGTGTGTGTGTGTGTATTGAAAAGGTTCAATCCACATAAAGGTTGTAATAGCATATCATTTATTGCAGGGGACAGAGGGGATAAATCCTGCACTCACAGTAATAAGCGAGGAGGATTCCAGCCAGCAGCAGGAGCAGCAGCAGGGAGATCACAGCAGCCACAGTGAACTTCACACACCTCTGTTTTACATCTGACGGGACGACACACACACACACACACACACCGTGACTGGAAACCCATTTACACCCAGCTTACCCACTTGTGTTTAATAATGCACCATTTTAGCCAGGTTCATCACATTTTAATCATATGAAAACATCTGTATGTTTGTTCTTTATTGTATAAAGCATACAGTATGAATGCATCTCTATTACTGACAGAAACGTCTGCTGTATGAGACTGACATCACAATAATTAGAATCTATTAAAGGAATACAATTTGTATTGTTAATCATATATAGGACAATTTAGGAAGTTATGATTATTTATTTGAATAATCATTGTTATCTGGATCACTTAGATAAAAAAGTTCTACAGTATTTAGTATGAGAGTGTATTAACTTGTTTTGTTTCAACCAATGTCCAAATGAATGGATATTTTACAAAAACGCATAATTAGCTTGCAATCTTTCTTAAAAAAATCACATTCAAAGCATGCACAGAGTTCCTGTTTTAATAGTTATATTAAATTAAATTAAACAGTACGAATTGTTAATACAATGAGATGAAAAGGAGACTGGACTACTTTTGTTTTTAGGAACGGAGTGGCTGATCTCAGGCGGGGGTTTCGGAGCCAGATGATGAATATATTGAGGCATATTGAGAACATCTGACCGGCTGAGTGGAGGAAGTTTTCTCTCGTCATCATCCCGGATGAGACAGGGACCCGAGTCCAGACACTGTCAGTAAGGCATTAAGTGATGAGAATAAAGCTTTCACAGTCTGGCAGCTTGTAATTATGGCAGAAATATAAATGTACAAGTGAGACTGTTACAATGAAAAATCATACATATT